TGTGTGTGTGTGTGTGTGTGTGTGTGTGTGTGTGTGTGTGGGTACTGGCATGCTGGTCACATACTGTATATTCTTTTGGGTGAAGTATGCTTGTGTTTTTCTACACACTGATGGTGGCTCTTGACAATGTAATATAAATAAGATGAAGTGTTTCTGTGTGTTCAATTTCGGTCCTGAAAAGTATTTCTTTATGTTTTTGAACCCAGTTGGAAAACTTTTTTTGGTGTGTGTACTCCAAATTGAAACAAGAGAGACAACAGAAGAGATAAATCCTGTGGTTAATATGTGTGGTCTTACAGTTTTGGATAACACTCTTTACTGTAACTATTAATTTATATCTAAATAAGGAAAAATACCAAGAATGTTCCAGCAGGTTTCAGTTTGTCCAGTTTAGACGACAGTAAAAAAAAACATGGCGGCCTCCATAGAGAGGACCCCCCCTCCATGTAAATATAAAGTATTTAAGTATTTAAGAGCCTGTTCTATGGTAAAGACAACAACAGTTCATACAATTTAGATGAAACACACCAGTGAAAACATCACTAGGATTATTTTATATTCACTTTCTGACAAAAATCCCTTTCACCTAAATCTTACACTGAACCTTTAATTTCATGCTTGGAAACAGGCACATTTAATTTGATTAGAGCAATTACTGGATGTTTATTAATGTTGTATTATAGTTGCTTCAGTCATATCTTCGAGCAGTGCCTTCCTTTTGAGTTGCCCATGAGCAAACCAAGCAACACTGAGTAGGAAAAATGTATTATCCCTATAAATTGACAGCAGTCCAGCAGTGATTCACATTCCTCTCACGTGTATCTGTAATTAAATTGTATTTTCACTTATGATCATTTCATCTCTGAAGAATTTCATTACACAAAAGTCATCGTTAAGACCACCAAGCTCTAAATAATCTGAGTACTGATGTATATTTTCTGTGTGATTTCTTCTTTTGGAATGTGTGTTTGACTTGATGTACTGTTTTAAAACTTCAGCTTGGATATAATATAAGTCAGCTTTTCCTCAAGTTCCTAACTGCGATCTCAGATCATTTGTGTGATGTTACAACAGACGAGTGTCTAATTTAAAGTTCAACCTTGCATCCATTATAAAATCAAGGAATTTGTATTAATCACACTTCTCTGAATGCATCGTATTTGGAGAACAGAAGTCAGTGCCTTTTGTATTTCAATACTGGATATAGCATCTAATAAAATGCTTTGCTTTAATATGAAGCTGTAATTGTTTTTTTCTTTATCACAATCTATGATTACAATCCATCTAGTTTAACAAAAGTCTCTGTATAAAATTGTAAGCATTGTCTTGGGTTGATGAATCGCTCTTTTTTACACTGGCTCTTGAAGGTGATAATTTTGCAGGAGTGAAGACAAGTCATGAAACTGGCCAACAACTCACTCTGACTCATTTCTCCTTAGCAGAGAAAGGGTTGTTCTGCCCTCGGCCGAGAAGATGTCATGAAAAAAGGAAATGCAACATCTAAAACATAGAGTAAACGAAATAGAAATTATTGGCTTTTGATTATTTTAGACCTTTACTATCATTTTTCTTTCTGCTCTATTTAAGAAGTTTGGAGGAAGAGGGGAGAAGGAGCTTTGTGACTGCTCTGTGTCTGTGGGGGAATCTGCACTCAAACCCAAACTGCTGCTTCAACTATCTGTCATTCCACTTGCCTGTCACTCTGTTCCTTCAGCCAGAATAAGTGCAGCTACTTCCCATTAGACATGGCCGTCCACATCTGGGCCAGACAGCGCAAGAAGAAAAACAAAGTAGTTTCACTCTGCTAACGCTAAAGTTGGACAGTCAAATTTTTTATTACAGGTCAAATGTGCTACAAATTATTTTTTTAAATTTTAAATCAAGGTTTCTCTTTAAAAAACCTCTATTGCATTAATTATAACTTAAACATGCTAAAAAAATTTAGATGTGTATCTTAAATATCTTAAATAATAGAAATATGTTTGAAAAAGTTATGTTTTTTAAATGGGGAGGTGTATAAATGTTGCCATTTGACATTAATGCACAATTGTAAGTACCATAAAATATATGGGGGGGACTCTGTGGAGTGAAGTGCTGACTCACTCACAGAGAAACTAGCAGTAAGAAAACATGTGATTTTGTAATATAATTTATATATAGCTTAATTAAGTTGTTTCTGGTGGTGTCTGTTGGAAACAATGCTGACTGGATCATTAATTGTATGAATTGATTTAGCAATTACCAACAAAATTTAGTTTATGGCAAAATAAACTGACTCTAAATATTGTTTTAAAAGATGAATAGGCATAAATGGCACAATTTGGGTATTTGACCAATACAAGATAGGACTAAAGACACAAACATTAAAAAAAATAGTATTTAGTATTTAAGTATTTAACCCTTCACCTCCAGATCTTAACACAGTTATCTCCTGTCATGTGTTAAATCAATGAAGCCTTTGAATGTGAGATACTACAAAAGTGGTTGTGGACCTCCTCATTGTCCCCTCAGCGTGATGCTTGCTGAGACGCTCTCTGTCACACACTGACAGGAGTGGAATTCAAGGTGAACCAGGGGAAAAGATGAATGAAGAACATTTCTCTGAGAAGAAAGACACAAATTGAAATCCTGTTGTTTATTACCATGTCACTAAATCAGAGTGCAGAGGTACAGAGGCCTGGGTCAATCATTTATAATATAATAATATAACTGGTAGCATGAAATAAAAGACTGTGGCTGTGTTGCTGCTTTTTTATGATGGTAGTTTGCTCCTTAGTAACCAGCAAACTGTGAGTAACTGTAATAAAACCTGACCATGCAATAAACAGGTGTGAAATGAGGTATATACAGTCTGTGGTCTGCTCGCAGATATATATTTTATCTTTATATATATATAAAGATAAATATTTATATACAGTCTGTGGTCGGCTCACAATCTATAAAGGGCTCTTATTTTGAAAGCTCCGGCGGAAATAAAACGCTTGTTTCCCCCCCTCCCGCATCACCGCACTCTTCCTCTCTCATCCCACCGGTGGTTGTCATGGCGATGGAGTCAGCCTCGGCGTCGGCTCCACGGGTTGTTACCATGGAGATCCCGGTGCGAGGTGCGCTCCCGGTGGTGGAGGAGGACGACGGCTTCAGCGCGCCGCCGCCGCCGGGGTCCGATGAGCGACTTCGGTACCGGCGAGGTGGAGGGAGACGGCGGCGAGGGGTGCCGTTCAACCGGGGAGGCTACTACATGCTGATCGTGATCGGGGAGATCGGCACGGAGCAGCAGCTGGAAGCCGCCAGAGCGCACATAGAGCGGGGTGAGTGAGAATCAGTGAGCCGCTCAGGTGCGAGGTTTAAATCTGGAAACAGCACAGACATGTTTTGACGCAACGAATCTCCATAGGTTGAGGCGGTTTCTGCAGCATTGCACCATGGGACACGCGTCTCTCCTCAGCC